GGATGCATGCTAATCTGGTTGTACCCCGAGTATGCATCCAGGAAAGTGAGCAACTCATGTCCAGCCGTGGCGTCGATGAGGAGGTCAATCCGCGGCAGTGGATAACTATCTTTTGGGCATGCCTTGTTTAGTTCTGTGAATCACACAGAGGCGCCACTTCCCATTAGCCTTAGTAACCATTACTACGTTGGAGAGCCACTCCGGATACGCCACTTCCCTGACTGCCCCCGTTATCAATCAGCTTTCTAACCTCCTTGTCCATGGCTTATGCCCTTTCAGTGGAGGTTCCCCTTAACTTTTGGCGAACAAGCTTGATACAGTGGATCGACATTGAGGCGGTGGGTAGCTACTTCCGGTCGATGCCCTTAGGTCCTCATGCGACCAAGCAAAAGATGTCCTATTACGCTTCAAAAAATCAATCACAGGGAGCCAGCTCTTCAAAAGGGAAAGAGCCAATGTAAATTCTTCTGTCTGGGTGCTCCTTTTCTAGAAACCACAGGGATGAGTTCCTCGACTGGTTCTCCTCTTTCTGTTGTGAGTTCATCCCTTGGGTCAAGGACCTCACCTGTAATTTTCTTGGGGCTTCCTAAGCCCTCATAGAGGATACATAGCACTCTTTGGCTGTTATTTGGTCCCCTTTGACCTCTCCGACCCCACACATTTGAGGTTGGAAAGCGAGAACGAGATGGTAGTAGAGGGCACAGCTCTCAATGTGTTAAGAGCTGGGCGCCCTAATATGATGTGGTAGGCTGACGGGCACTCTATTACCAGGAAGTTGACCATGACTGTGGAGCTTCGGGGTGTTACTCCGCGGTGACGGGAAGTGTGATGGATCCAAGGGATACACTTTTTCCCCTGAGAATCCAATGAGGGGTGACCTGATTGGCTGTAGCCTCTCCCTGCCCAGGTTGAGCTTGTCATAGGCCTTTGCAAACAGGATATCCGCAGAGCTGCCACTATCCACCAGGATCCTGTGCACATGAAAATTGGCCACCGTCATGGTGAGCACCAAGGGGTCGTCATGGAGGTGTTGGATTTCCTCCAGGTCCTTGTCTGAAAAAGATATGACCACGTCGCCTTTCCTGCTTCGGCACCTTAGATGGGCGCATCTCGTAGACATGTCTTGCCTTCCTGGCATGGGCCTTCATCGCGGAAAGTGATTCTCCCCCACCTGCTAGTCCCCCTGAGATGGTGTGTATTTCCCCCACTGGCTGCTGATCTTCCTGGTTGTGAGGTTGTGGTGCTCGTTCCCTTCCAGCAACGTACTGGCGTAAGTGACCACGCTGGATGAGCCCTCAATTTGCCTCTTGAGGTCGTAGCAATCGTCGGTGTCATGCCCGTGGTCACGATGGAAGCGGCAATACTTGTTAGGATTTCTGCGATTTGGAGGAGACTTCATTTTTTCAGGCCACTTTATCGCGGGGTCATCCTGGATCTGGAATAGGATGTGTTCCACGGAAGCATTGAGGGGAGTGAAGGGTTGACGGTTCCTCTGAGGAGCAGGACCTAGCCGGTCCTTGACAGGGACTTTCTCTGTCCTGCCATGTTTGTTGCTGGTCCCCTTCTTATCGTCCCTCTCCCTTTCCTTCCTTTTATCCCCTGCTCTGGAAGACTCACCCGCTTGGCCCTTGTGATGTCTTCTACGTTTATGTACTTTTGGGCCTTGGCTAGCAGCTCTGGCATGCTCTTCGGTGAACGCTTCAGAACTGAGAAAAGGAAGCTTGATGAACGGAGGCCACCCAAGAAGGCGGTCATCGTCACCTTGTCGTCGGGTTCATCAACTTGGAGTACCTCCTCATTAAAACGAGTGAGGTAACTCCTCAGGCTCTCCTCGCGATCCTGCTTTATACTAAGCAGGTGCGTAACTGGCTTCTGGTGGCGACGCCCTCCAATGAAGTGTGAGACGAATGATCTGCTAAGCTCGACGAAAGAGGAACTAGAGGCGGGGGAGAGCTTAGCAAACCACTGTCGGGCAGACCCCTTTAACGTGGTTGGGAATGCCCTGCACATGATTTCGTCTGGTACGTTGTGCAATTGCATTAAGGTCTTGTAAGTGTCGAGGTGGTCCAGTGGATCCTTTGTTCCATCAAAGGTCTCCACAGATGGCATTTTGAACTTCTGAGGAAGGGGTAGTTTGCTATATCAGGTTTGAAAGGCGTATCAGTACGCCTTACCAAGTGGTCAACAGTCTCGGGTCCCTGTGCCTTCATAGCGTTGAAGACATCACCGAGTTGATTCTGTACCTCCTTTATCTTTTCGTCCCAATGATTGGCGGCTCCTCTGGAATGATCATGGAAGTGGCTTCCATGCTCCATGCTTTGGTTTTCACCCTCATCCTCCTGGAGATAAGGGTCCTCTCCCTGGGAAGCCAGGGGAGGGGGAGGTGGAGCTCCCTCATGTTGGGCTTCCCAAAGTGGGGTGCCCAATAGGGCGCCGGGCATGAAGCAACAGGGCGTGGTGCTCCTTGATGTCCAGGACGTGGAGCTCCTTGGGGTGCTCTATGTTGTGCACCTCCGTGGGGCCCTCCATGTTGTGCACCTCCGTGTGGTGCTCCACCTTGGTCAACAAGTATGAGTTGCAGTAACTGTTGGTTTTGAGCAACCAGTTGCTGCATGGTCTCCAATATTTGCTGGGGATTCGGGGCTAGAGTATTCGGAACAGGGTTGATAGGCGGGGGAGCAATCTCCTCCTCTCGTGGAGGATTGTCTTCATGTTGGTTCATGGATCGAGTAGTGATCGTCATTAGTTAATGGATGTAATGTTCAGGAGTGAGAATTTTATCGAATTCCCACAGACGGCGCCAAACTGATGATGCACAAAAATGGTTTTGCACACCACCTGTCAAGTGTAGGTAATAAATGCAGTGAAATCAATGAAAAAATTAAAGAAGACACGATTTATAGTGGTTCGGTCAATTCGACCTACGTCCACTCTTCAATGGCTTCAGTTGCCGGGTATTTTATTAATTCAGAGGTATGGAGAATAGAGATACAAGCTTTGAGAGAATGGAGAATCAAAGAAGGAGTGGTCTCCGGTCGTCGGTCTGTCCTCTGTAAGTGTTGGTGGGGCGTGACCTTCTTTTTTCGTCTCCTCCAGATTGTGGCTACTTTATAGCAGCTAAGAGATCATTCTTGTGGATATCATGACTTATCCTCAAGGCTACTTTATCGCAGCTAAGAGATCATTCTGGTGGAGATCATGACTTATCCTCAACGGAAGGAGGAGGTTGGGGAGCTCTTCATGAAACGTGGTCAAAGCTTGGACCGTTTCCTTCAGTGGTGCAGATAAGCTTCTCATGCTCTCCTCTTGATGACGTGCTAAGCAAAAAGTCTAACCGGTCTTGGACTGTTTTGGGCTTGGTAGATTCAAAATGAGGTTGGGCTCCTCAACTGGAGTTGGACTTTAACACATGAATTGGACTATTTGGGCTTAACCCATCAATATCGATGAATTGAGCAATGAGGATCCTAAAGCATATACCTTCTTACGATGAGCACTCTTATCCTCTAAATCTGTTTGATACTCGATTGTCTTCCCTCGCCTCTTGTCTCCCACCTCCACCTCAAAAATGCCACAATTAGCTACTAGAATAGAGCCTATGGATTTGCGATTCCACTTTCCCTTTCCTTTGTTGACCACCACTTTCGCCCTAATCACTTCTAGAACCTCTTTAGATGACGAAGGTTCCTCCCCAATTGGGATGGTTTCGCCTGTGTTTTTGATATCTGTTATTGGACTAAGAAAAAGGCCTAATTGCTTAACTAGCTCAGAGAAGCCCAAATGAATGTAGGATAGTCCAAAGTTAGGCCCACCTCATATAGATTCCAACCTTTAGAATGTTTGTTAATATTGTTTAGACCCTCTAGCCCAATCTGATTATCCCCTTCCTGCCTTTCCACATTCAAACCAGCTATCGTATTCTTGTTAGGACTCTATAATGAAATCTTCTCCTCTGGAGCCGCATCCTTATATTTAGCCGAAGATGATAATAAATCCCTTTGATTGGTCACCATAATTATCGGGTTAGGCTTGGGACCTGGCTTCCATGATGGATGCCTAAGATCTTGCTCTAGATCTAACACCAGAGCAAAGGCCATCAGAACATTTTCGGTAATACAAAATTGTTCCTGATCCTAGAGATTAGTTTGGACTTTGAGGTTGATGCATTTAACCGTGAACCATATTGATTCTCCTTCCTCCCACCATCATCTAACTTTATTGTCGATATTGAGCATTGTTTTTTAGTATGTCCCAACCTTCCATAGCAAAAGTGATTCTACCTATTTTGTGATTTGATTTATATTATGCACCAAAGTATAAGTGGTCAAATTGTAGTTTTCTCGGTTTAAGTCTACGATCGATTCCATGAAGAGTTTTAATAATTGAAATTTAAAATAAGAACAGTGAAGTTATTGCTAAAGCAATGTAACATGAGATAACTTATGATGTAAACTTAGATTGATAACTACACTACAAGAATTAAGGCATTTTGAGGCGAATTTTTTGTGACAGTAAGATTTGCCGCCACAAAAAAGTCATTTTTTTTCGTAATCTTTTTCGCGGCATTTAGATTGCCGTCATAAATGATAAATTTTGCATTATAATTTTGTAAAATCCCGTACTATAATTAAATAATTATTATTTCTGTTAAGATGAATAAAATGATTGTAGAAACCTTGAATCATTGTTAAAAGATAGATTATGAAGTTTGAGTTTCGAACGAATTGACTTTCGAGTCAAACTTAGTTTTGAAGGTGTTTAACCTTGAGAATATTGATTAGGTAGGTTTCTAACTATTTTTAGGTCAAAATAAGGTTTTCATTGAATCCAAAAGGTCGAGAAAACTTGGAAGAGGTAATATGAGGTGTATTAGAATTTAGAAAGTATTTCGAAGTTAAACTGTATTTTAGAAAAGAATTGGGTAAAAATGAATTTGACACTACCTTAGTATTTTAGCCATACCTTTTTAATATGAACTCAAATGAATCTGATATTTGGAGAGTAGAAACTAGACTTTAAGGGCTACAAAAGTATGTTTCACGAAAATTTCCTGAATCGACTTCTAAATAGGTGAAAACTACTCTTAAATTTGGGACAGAAAATTGTCTACGTTCGGACGCTCCAAGCACTGTCCGAATGGTATTCCTTACCCAAAAACTTTATTTTTATAAAAAAAAAAAAAAAAAAACAATGACTTTGAACCGTCCAGACACCCAAGGACCGTTTGGACGCTACACTCAAAATGGTCCCGATCAGTTTTAGGGTTTTTCTCCGTTTTTTACCCTATAAATACCATAAGGACGTCCTTTTAACCATATTTCATCAATTTTCAACTCTAAACAACCTTAGAGAGCAAGAGGGAAGAAGAGAAACATAAGATTGAAAGGGGATTCTCACGTTGGAAACGAATGAAACACGCTAGGTTTACACACAATTACAGAATCAAGGTGGAGGATTCTTCTTGAGTTCTTTCATTGAGACTTAGGGTATTATATATGTATGTTTTCAATTCTCTTGATAATTATACGATAAATATGTATGAATTCTTGATTTCTTTATCATTGGAACATGGTCTTAAATAAAATACATGCTTAGGTTCAAGGAACACTTGTTCTTGAATTTTCAAAACCCTAGTTTTTCCAAAATACATGTGCTATTGTGAAATTCATATGGATTCTTGATTTCTAAATTCCTATTCTTAATTAAATCATGTTTTCATCTAATATTTGTTCTTGTTCCAAGAAATTACATTTTTTTGGCTAAACCCTAGAATTTTGGTATCGAAATTGTGAATGTTTTCTTAAGATAATCTCTTGCATATTTTAATTCCTTTATTAATGTAGTATATTGAGAATTGTGCACTTTTGATACTTGAATTGTTAATGAAAATTGTGATTAGTTAAGATTGTAATTGTTGAGAACGTTATGGTTTCATCTCTTGTATGGTTTGGGTGGAATGAACTTGAATTACCTTCGAGAGCTGTCGTAGAGTGTTTTAATTCCTTTATTAACTAAGTTATTTGTTGAATGTTTTAATTTATAACATGCTTATTCCTTTCATTGATTATTGTATTCCATACACTTGAGATCATTACAACCGTCATGGTTTTATTCTTAAAAATCTTTATATGCTATTTTTCAAAAGAGACTTGTCATATTTTATTGTTTTAAACCTTGTTGGGATTTGAGAGGGATTTCTTACAAGCTTTTGCTCACCCCCCACAACACACTTACAGATTTTGGCATAGAAGATTATGTCAATGTTGATGAGCAACTTGATTACGAGCCGTTGGAGGTTCAAGCTGTGGATCCTACCTTAGAGGGATAGAGTTGATCTACTTTTGGTTTAGAGTTTGAGAGATTTTTATTAAATAATATTTTAGCTAGTTTTTATTATTCTGCTGCTAGATATTCTTGGTTTTGAATTGTAAGTTGAAGAAGTTTCAATGTTTTTATTGGTTTTAGTATTTATTCCTTGTCAAATGGATGAATGGTTTATTACTTAATGATTATTTTTAATTGCTCTCATGGTTGTAGGTTTGTATATAGTAATGTCTTTCAGGATGGATTTTAAGGTATTACACATTTTTCTATCATTAGCTCTCTCTATTTATAAAAAATATCAAGCACTTAAGATAATTTCACAAAAAAATTAAAGAATTTATCAAAAAACCAAAAAATGGCAACTAATAGAGTCATCAAGAAAGACTCCTAACAATTAAAACTATCAAGAAAAACTCCTAATTTATAAATAACACCAATTCTATAAAGGCTACATCCCATTTTTTTTATTTGTGATAGAATTAAAATCGAAATGGAATAGGATACTAGGTTCCTTCCCTCAACCATTCAAACCGGGCAACTGATGAAAACTCAAGGCGGTTCAAACAAAAAGCTATAGGAAAAATTTTAGTCGCACCCCTTCTAATTTATTATTTCTTCATGGACACCCTCTCTATTATCAAAAACATCACTAACACCCCATTTAGTTTATATTTAAACATCATTAACACCTCATACGATTAAAATTCGTGTCAATTAAAATTCGATTCATTCAAATTTGAGTCAATTAAAATTTAATTTTTTTTATGTATTAAAATTTGGGCCAAATAAAATTCAATATGAGTTAATTAGAATTTGATTTGAGTCAATTACAAATGATTTTTAATTGTCTCAAATATAATTTTAAGCAACCCAAATTGTAATACATAAAAAAAATAATTTTTAATCGACTCAATTTTAATATGTAAAAAACAATTAATTAGTTTGAATCGAAGTTTAATCAGCCCAAACTTTAATATGGAAAAAAATAGAAAATATAGGGGGTCTCTTAAAGATATGCTTATTTAGAGGAGGTGTGGATGAAGTTCGTCCTCAAATATATTATAGGAAATTTAGTAAAATTACATTCTAGTTAATTTTTTTTAATCTAACGGGGTGTTAGTGAAGATTCAGAAAATAGAGAGATTGTATTTGAAGGTATGGTAAATTAGAGGGGACGTGGTTGAAATTTTTCCAAAATTATAACAACCACGTCTGTTGCAACCAGGTCAGCACCTCCGCATCTCTCTGAGCACTGGACGACTGAAACTCCTCCATCCTCAAGCACTCAATCATCGTTGAAGACCACCATCGTTGAAGATTTACTTTACTAACTAAGACGTGGGTTCTACATTGTGATTTTATTCGTTCACTTGACCCAGTAAGTACATCTCTCTCTCTTTGCAATTTAGGAGGAGTTAGTTGATAATTGATATTGTATAAATTTTGGTCTATTTCAATTGATTCAATTGAAAAAGTTGATCTCTCAGGTACGCAAGAAACAAAATATCTTCTCTTCTCTAAATTTACTTACCTCTATTTCTTGCTTTGTTCTCTGCTCTATTTCATCAAATCCTAGGGCTGGTTTTAGATGATTTTAAGTTGATTATTAAGTAATTACCTAACACAATTCTATGACATACTTTAGATTTGAGGTTTTTTTTTTTTTTGCGGTTCCTCTATTCATTTCTCTGCTTGATGCTCAGGGTTTTCTTTGTTGCTTTTTGTGAATATATGTGGTTGTTGATTTGATCTTTTTTTTTTTCAAACTAGATTCATATGAATCGTATTAAATTGATGTAAGAATAAAAATTCAGCATCATTCACTATCAATGGAAGCAGTTTTATACCAATATAAAGATATCAAATCAGATAAAAGAGTAAAATCTCTCGGTAGCTTCTTAATCTTACACAAAAAAAATCATATTTAAAGAGCTTTAATCTAACCGATAGGGTTTTAGAATCTGAAAATCAATGGTGGTCATAGAACTCTCATTGTTTCTTCCAAAACCTGAAATTATTTAAAAATAACTTGTGCCTTTACTTTATTTAGAAATTGAAAGTTCTTATGTTTAGAGAATTCGTGATGCCCTTGTTATGTATGATGACATTCATAAGTTCTGCCAAAAATAAAGTAAAGTAAGCGGAAAAAGGAAAAAGAAAAAGAAAGATGAACATTTTTATTTATTTCATTTTTTGTAATTTCCAATAGAGGTGAAATTTTGATTTATTTAGAGAAAAAAATGTTTTTTAAGCTGTGTTTCCATTCTGTTAGTGTGTTATCCGGAGGATGTGATTCATATGGGTATCCATATGATTCAAGTTTATAAAATTTTGTGGAAAAATATGTTAAATGGTGTGTTTCACACAATGCATTCCATGATTATTTACGTTGTGATGATCTTCCTCAACTTTTTTTAATTTTTTTTTTATTTTCGTGGGTATTGACATGAATAATGGTTCTCATAAGCTAAAGTTTTGTTCTTCAATTGAGGTTAGTTAAAATATGGACAAGAGTTGGATTGTTTTACCAGATAGAGTTTCAATAGAATACATGAATGGGGTTGATCAATTCCTCAATTTTGCGCATAGTAATAAGGCAGAAGGTTCAACAATCAATTGCCCTTGTAAAAAATGTGCAAATCGCTTCTTTTTTGCACAAGAGATTGTGCATAACCATTTGGGTAACCATGGCTTCTTAAAGAAGTATAAGAATTGGATTGATCATGGGGAACCCTACATGTCTTTGTATGGTAACCAGGAAAATGAAAGTTATGTTGATTTAGATGTCGGGGACAATATGGTCGAAATGATACATGAGGCGATAGGAATTGCAAATGTAGGTGAAAATGCTGATTATGATGAACCACCTACAAATAGTCTCCAGTCAGGGGCTAATGAAGAAACAAGAAAGTATTTTAAACTTCTAGAGGAAGCAGAAAGTGAATTGTATTCGGGATGTAAAAAGTTTGCGACATTGTCATTTATCGTTCAACTTCTACATATGAAAGTGCTTAATGGATGGACAGATAAGTCTGCTGTGATGTTGCTTTAGTTTTTGTTTGAGTTTTTGCCTAAGGGAGCAAAACCTCCTAATTCATACTATGAAGTCAGAAAGGTAACTGATGACTTGGGCTTTACATATAAGACGTGGAATGCATGCCCTAACAGTTTTATGTTGTTCAGAAATGAGGATGACGGACGTGATAAGTGTGATATATGTAACTCTTCAAGATGTAAACATCAAGAAGGTAATCCAAGTATCGACACCACCAAAGGTAAATGAATAGTATCAAAACATATGAGATATTTTCCTTTGAAGCCAAGACTATAAAGACTGTTTATGTCATCAAAAACCTTTTCACCCATGAGATGGCATGTTGAGGGATGAACCGATGACAGCGTATTAAGGCATCCTATTGATTCTTTGGCATGAAAAACTTTCAATTTGAAAAACCCCAATGTTTGCTAGTGACAGTAAGAATGTCATACTTGGGTTAGCAACTAATGGATTTAATCTGTTTAGGTCCATGAATATTGTTCATAGCACTTGGCCCGTCATATTGATTCTATACAACTTACCACCATAGTTGTGCATGAAACAACCATTTCTTATTCTATTTATGCTTATTGAAGGGCCAAAAGGACCTGGCAACAAGATTGATGTATATTTGCAACCATTAATTGAGGAGTTGAAGGAACTATGGGAAGATCGTTTTCATACGTTTGATGCATCAAGCAATCAAATGTTTCAAATGCATGCAACATTGTTATGGACAGTTAGTGATTTCCCTGCATATGCCAACTTGTCAGGGTGGAGTACAAAGGGTAAATATGCATGTCCATCTTATAATACAAAACCTCGGTCTTATTGGTTGAAGTATTGTAGAAAGTATTTTTATATAGGTCACCATCGATGGTTCCCTGAAGAGTCGTGACAATCATATTTTGATGCAACAATTTATTCCTCTGGCTATACGCAAATCATTGCCTAAGAATGTGGTTCAACCTATAATTGAATTGTGTAATTTCTTGAACAAATTATGCTTGAAAGTGAACTGTGCTTCAGATTTGGAATATGTTCAGGACCGTATCGTGCTTACACTTTTTCATCTTGAGAAAATCTTTCCACCATCCTTCTTTGATATAATGGAGCATTTACCTATACATTTAGCAGAAGAAGCGTTGATTGCTGGAGCAATACAGTTTCGATGGATGTATCCCATTGAAAGGTATGTGTTACTTCTTTATGTAAAGGGTCTATCAAACTTTTATGTAATTTTAGTTTTGATATTAAATTTCAATTAGAGTGTGCTTATAATTGTCCGTCTAGGTATTTTCTTACTCTGAAACAATATGTGCGTAATCCCACTCATCCCGAGGGCTCAACAGCTAAAGGTTACTTGATGGAAGAATGCATGAGTTTCTGTGCAAGATATCTTGATGATGTGGAAACCAAGTCTAACTGACCACTGAGGAACTATGATGGTGGTGAAGCTTTAGGTCATAATGTGGGGGAGAGCCTTCAAATTCACCATGATAATGTAACATGGACACAGACTCATCAGTATGTTCTATTCAATACCGACTCAGTTGCACCATTCATAAAGTAAGTTATATATCACCCAAATTCTTGAGCTAAAGTTTTTAAACCATTTATGCAATTTACACATAACTATTGAACTATACAGTGACCACCTTGAACTCCTTTGAAGCCAAATGCCTCGTCCGGATGACCACCAAATTCGGCGCAAACACATGGAAATGTTTCACACATGGTTTATGAAACATTTATGTATAATTATATATATAATAATACATATAATTTATGTTTTTTAACTTTATATTTTTCTTGCCCTTTAATTTTAAATAATTGTGTAACACAAGTACAGGTGCAAACTATGCGAAGATCAAGTAATGATAATTTCTCAGATGAAATCAATATATTGACAAATGGTCAACATTACTCAGCATGGAGATATAAAGCATATATTATCAATGGGTTTCGGTTTTGGTTTAAGGACATGGATAATCATTGAAGTACTTAAAATAGGGGTGTGACCTTAAAGGCGGATACTGTCAGTTATGCTAGTCAAAAAAACAACAACCCTTGTATGGGTGTTGTATCATACTATGGAGTCTTAAGCGACATTATCGAAATTCGGTACACAAATGATTTGAAATATGTGCTCTTTAAGTGTGATTGGATTGATAACAATGTAGGGAAGAAGGAAGATGACTTTAATTTTACATTAGTAAACTTCAAGCATTTATTGTATCGAGATGATCAGTTGACAAATGAACCTTTCATCTTAGCATCCCAAGCCGAACAAGTTTGGTATGTTGAAGACCCTTTAGACAATTGGCATGTTGATGTGAAGATATCTCAAAGAGATTTGTTTGATATGAAATTTAATGAAGCTCAATCAAAACCTTATAACCATCAAGAATTGGATTAAAATGTAATGCTCCATAGTGATGATGCGGGTTGGGTAAGGCAGGAAGCAGATGGAACAAAATGCACCTTAAATAAAGTTGTTCTAGGGGATATTCAAATGGATGAGTGTGATAATGGTTGATGTTCTTTGATACGCATATATAGGCATTTGTTTCATATTATTTTGAAGAAATAAGAGGTATTTTTGAAAGATCTTTTTTTAACTATTAATTTTCAAAGAATGATATTAATATGTGCATGTCTTGTTTACAGATATGTCAAAGAGAAAATGAAGTACTATGTCTGAGATATTGCATGTGCATACATCATCTAACACTATGCATAAGCATTCACAACCATCACCACAGACGCTATCTTCTAGGTCATTGTCACGCGTACAGTCTTCCCAGCCATCATCACTTAGACAGTCAGGTATATGTATACTATAGTTTAATATTTTAATATTATTACATTATACATTTGTGACCTTTTAGCAATTGATGATCTTTATTTGGAATAGGCATAAGTGACACAGTTTCAACTAAGCGAGGTCGAGGTCCAGCTAAGGGTCCTATGGAATGGGGAACTGGAGTGAAACTTAAGGTTGAGTTTGATTCCAAGTTTCAGCCAATAGGTAAGAATGAAAAATGGCTAAAGTCAGCGTTGGAAAATATAGTACGCAATGAGCATAGAGTTCCTTTCACTTATATCGATTGGGCTTCAATACCTGTTGATATACTTGATACAATTTGGAAAGAAGTGGAGGTATAAATTTAATTCATCAAAATTTTATTTTTCAAAAAAAAAAAAAAAAGGAATGATGACCTCAATTATATGCTAATTTCTTGGCACATAATTTTAGGATAACTTGACATATGCTCCTCCTGGTCATAAACCAATTTGCTTGAAGGCATGTGGTAAAAATTGGAGAGATCACAAATATTGAGTGAAGATAAATTTCTATGAACCCCACAAGAATGATGAGAATCTTAGATCATTAGTTCCAATTGATATTGTACCAGAGCAATAGGCAGAGTTAGTACAGTATTGGGCGAGTGATGTAGCTAAGGTACGAGAATGAATTTATATCATTGCCTATATGTGGAATAATGAATTTGAATAATGTTTAATTATTGTTATAAGAAATAGCATATTGAAATTCAAAGAATAGAGAATTACAAGGCTCGGTTCATAGGTGTGGGCGAACACACTTCGACAAGTTACGTAGAGAGGTAAGTGATTATCAAAATTAATATATTTTGATATGTATTGTTGTGTTTACATTTGATGATAAACCCGAATTTTGATATTTGTTGAGGTTTGCATGTGGAACAAAACGAAGAGCCTACTGATAAAATGAGCATATATATTAAATCATGAACTAAGAATGGTGTTCCATGTGACGATGACGTGGTGCAAGTCATTGTATCACATTCTTATACTTTATTTTTTGAGTTTTTAATAATTTTTTAAAGGTTTTAAATATATAATTATTGACTATCTCAAATTATAGGCTGAATTTGATGTGCAACTTTCTCAATATGATGAGTCAGACCGTACACCACCTCTTCGAGATCAAATTTTCCACAAGTTGTTGGGAGCAGATAGACATGGATACTGCAAGACCTACAGCACTGGTGTGCCTCAAATTTTAGTGTACCAAAAAGACACAAGCTCATCCGATGCACCAAATCCTACTTTCATTGAGAAAATGTCATTTTTTGTGTGAAAAATTAGAGCCGCAAATTAAAGCTGAATTTGACAAGATTCATGCAAGGATTTGTTTGTTGGAATCACAAGCCGATAGTGTAGGTGGATCTAGGGTTAATGCCAATCAGGTGGTGTATAAGAAATGTTATATTTTTGTTTGATCAACTTTAAACTCTATATATGTAGGATTTTAATATGTGATATAACATGTCTTATAGGCTCTAGACACGTCTAGTGCACATCAGTTGTTGAGGGAGTCGGATGAAGAAATACCGCCACGGTCAATTGAGAAGTCATCCATACCATCTCCATCTCCCTTGCCTTTTGATGAGGTGAAATGTATTTGAATTTTTTGTATTTGACATTTGATTAATTTGTTAGGTTTGAGTGTATTATTAAAGATATGAATAATAATTTTAGCTTTGAATGTGTAGTAAATGGCTTCCTTAATGGATGAAAGGTATGGAAAGTTTCAACTTTGGTTAAAAGGGCTATGTTGTTGTTTTTTTTTTTTTTGGAATTGAAATAACCGAGTTTGTGAGCAATTATGAATGCACCTTATATGATGTTTGTTGTATCATTCTTTCCAATGCATTTCACAATTTCTCGCTAGTGAAAGATTTATCTAATGTTGTGAAAATGTTATACAGATGCACACTGCTAAAATAACAAAGGAAAAGAGGTTCTTGAAGAAGTCAGTCTACAAGTATATTTATTTTGTATACCATATGACATCTTTCAATTGATATGAATAACCATGCATTAAAAATTTTAAATAACGATTATTGTTATGATGGCATTGTGCATATTGTTGTAGGTTGGAACTAACGTATGTTTGTTAAGTTCCAAAATTCTAAGGTACATATTAGCAGAGGGTATTTTTGTTAGTATAGACCCATTGGCCGAAGTGAATGGAATACGCTTGGGATCAAATTTTTGGAAAGTATTTATTGAAAAGGCATTTGAGAGTAATGCATGTTTGGCAAGACCTCATCAAGGAGTCAAAACAGTGGGGAATGCTATTCAACGAAATGTTGCTTGGTCATCTATTGATGTATGTTCAACTTCTTTTAATTCTTTAATACATATATCCATGTTTTTTTTCTATGTTGTAGTGGTATTATAATAACAAAAGTTTTATTTGTTTTTTCAAGTACTATTGAAATGGTAGGTGATTTGCAGAAGAGTTATAAAAGACCTTAGGATTTTTTTTTACATTTTTATTATAAGCATGTGTGGATACAACATTGAATATTTTGTTTTAATTTTATCTTTTTTATGTGTACTTGGGGAATTAACATTATACTTGATAGATTTTAAACTGTTTTGTCTAATTGATGATTTGTTTATGTATATATATGAACATATTTTTACTTGGGGTTTAGATTTATATATGAATGGAATTGTATGTGGAATTATTTGACTATGATAAGTTTTTTTGATTTGAGTGATGTATTTGTATATACAAGGTAGATATTGATAATATAAAAAAAAATTTAAAAATTGGCATTTTTTTTGTGGCGGCATTGTTGCTATCATAATTGTATTTTGTCAACAAATACATAACATTTGTGATGGCAAAGTCTCTGTCACAAATATTATGCAAAATTATGGCACCATTGTTTTGGTCAGAAAATTTCTGCCACTAATGTTTTTTTTGCGACGGTGTAATGCCGCCTCAAATACTTTTTGCGGCACTGCCTATTGTGGCTACTAAATGCCGCCGCAAAAAGTATTTGTGACAGAAAATATACTTTTTTGCAGCAGTCTTTCACCGTCACAAAAAATTTATTTTCTTGTAGTACTAGTCTAAGTAAATGAAATGTGTAGATAGATTTTTAAAAGACAATAATATGAAAAGTACCCTTCAAATTAAGGATCTCATATACTTTATATTAGTTAAATACTGGAAATGCCACCTTACCAAAGTTAACTTTTTTTGTCACTTGAAAAGTCAACTGGTAGGTTTGATGTATATTAAACTATAACACAACAACTTTTTAGGTTAGTTGGTTGTACACTTATATTAAACCATAACACATCAACTTCTTAGGTTAGCTGGTGGTATACTTATATTAAACCATAACATAGCAACTTCTTAGGTTAGTTGGTGATATACGTGATAATTTACTAATCCAAGTATGCCATAAGGTCAAGTCATTCATGAGGATCACTGGAATTACTCAATTGGCAATATTATAGTATGTATCAGTTAAATAACCCTAATAATCTAGAAGGTCAAGTCATTTAGGACTATCATTTAGGTTATTCATCTAACAACTTTTATATCTTATATCAATTAAACAACCTCAGTAATCTAGAAGGTCAAGTCATTCAGGAGGATTACTTAGGTCATTCATCTGACAACTTTTATATCTTATATCAGTTAAACAACCTCAGTAATCCAGAAGGTCAAGCCATTCAGGAAGATCACTTAGGTTATTCATCTGACAATTGTATCATGCGATAATAAAACATCCTTAGTGCATCAGAAGGCCTAGTCATTCATATGTTCACCCCTCACTAAAGGGTATAAGTAAACTATTCATGCTCTATTGCTATAAACAAGCAAGTCTTATTACAAGAGTAAATAAAATACAGACACTAACACTTCTTTCGCGAGGAACAATTGAAATAAAACCATCCTTAATATCAGTTAAGACACAAAGGTGGCAGCAGTTCAACTTTTCAAGTAGAAAGACATAACAGAAATGTAGAAATACAGAATTTTGGCTAGATAGTAGGACGGACCGGATCTTGAATTGTTCTACGACTTTCTCTCTTTTTCTTCCTTTTTTCTCTCTTTTGAACTTCCTCTAGAGCTCCCCTTCCAACCAGCTTCTTTAGATGAAGGATGGTCACATATTTATAGGCAAAAATCAAGCAGGAGGTGGAGGATAAGTTCAAACCGCTTGGAACCACCATCCGGACGGTGCTCCTTTGCTGGTGGAGGTTCCATGATATTCTTGCATGTTCCATTGTTTGAATTACACTTGTCTCCTTTGTTATTTCAAGCTTTGATAAATTACTTCTCCTGATTTTCAGTAATTCCGCACAAAAACTTTGAAATTTTAAACAGTATACATAAAAACCCTAGTCTACGCATAAAACCTAATTTACAGCTTTTAATTCTTTTATCTTACATAATTAAATTATTTAATTATATTAATTTATATATCAATTAGGGTTAATCACACTCTCCAACTTAAAATTTACTAGTCCCTAGTAAATTATAAAATACAAACAAGTAAAGTCATTTTCGTAGATTTTTTCACGATTGCATTTAGTATATGCAACAAGTCGTTAAACCCCTAGGTGATCTCTAGTGGACGAGTTTTGTTTCGTGAAGGTTTTTAGTGAAGCTACCTACAAACTTTAGTAGTTAAGAGTTCATAACTCATACTTTTCACAAATAAAATTAAATTACTATTCCTCTTATTGCTTGAATAGTTCCTTTATCTGATCACTATAAGAGTAACACACATTAGTTGTAACATTATCTATATATTTTTATAAAAAACTTTTGTGTGTATGTGTGTGTAATGATTTCTTTATTTTCAAAAATCACTTAAGAAATATTACCATCTTTCATGATAGTCTTGATGTCAATCTTTCCCTGGAATACACTCAGCAAAGAATATACGTACGATATAGTGACTATTCTCTCAAAATTACATGTGATTGGAATATTGTTATCAAAGCAAATAATATCACATGGAATCAATCAAAAGAACGATTATTTGAATAAAACTAGAATTTGGCATAATCTCATAAAAGAATATTAACACTATATTAAACATATTATCAACATTCTCCCTTTTGGGATAGATAGGATTAACACACATATATGACTTCTGCAATTGAAAAGGACTTTCCCATGGGTGTAATGTGACCAATGGTTTAAGATTTAAGAAATGACGTGAATGAGATTCAAAAGCTATCATTTCTTAGTATTGTGGCACACCACGTTCTATCCTTTCAAAACTTTTATTTTTTCATTTTATTTTTTCACTTTCTGGGTTATTTTCTTTCTTTCTTTTTCCTTTGAAATTTCATTCACATATTTCTCTTTTCTTTAAACAATGATCAATTTCTACTTTTTCTTCTTCTTATGTTTTTTTGTATCCTACTGATTTAGAAGAGGGTGCAAGAAAATTAGATAGTAAAGGTAGATTTAATATATTTTCATATGGCTCAGGTATTTTTTAGGTTTCATGAAAAGAATTTATATTCTATTAGGCTCAATCATGGCTAACTAATGATATAATTTTGAAAAAGAAATGGTTAAAGCTCAAGATTAATCAAAAATGGCCTAATATCATTTTCCAGAAATCATAAACATGTATAATCTCTAAATAAAAATTTAAAGGAAAATGCTAACAATATAATCCAATAAGTGCTAATCGAAACAAAACTAATGGGATTATTCAAAAAAAATTTACTGCTAAATTGAATATTCTTATTTGAGTAGATGTAGAATATCTCTCCAAGAAAGATTGGTTCAAAATCTGCAATAGGTCTTACATCTCCACTATAGATGTAAAGAGTGTAATATTTCACAAGGTTTTTACCAATAAAGAAATCTAATTGTGCTCAAAAGAATAAGTTTAAACAAAAATATTAAGATAATACACAACTAAAATAAGAAAATCTCACGTGATCAGATTAGGGTTATCCTTGCAAAGCATTAGAATACTAACTTTATTTAACTATGAGTCATATGAAATAGTCTCCCTAACTTAAGAACATAAGCTCCATATTAACTAACAAAAGCAAGTTTAAAAACAACAAGTTCAAAATATAAAGTAAGTTTAGGTGCGTAAAATAAAAGATGAGTGAAAGATAGCAAAGCCCTTGTAGAATCTCCAGTGTTTAAGAAGTAGATAGTCCTCCACCGAAATGCTCTCGAAGTAGTCTCAAAATCTCTGCTTGGTTCTGCTCATAATCATCCATGCGTTTGTTGATCTGAGTGATGTTGGTACTGAGCTGGGTAATAGTGGTCTTCAACCCTAGTAAAATATCTATCGGTCCTGTCATCCATTGGTATATATGGTTGATCTTCTTGTGGTGCATGTTGTTCTGGTGGGAAAAATTCATCTGGTACTTGGAATGACTCCTCTTGTGGTGGAGGTGGTTGATCTTCAGGTTGAATGCCATAGCTTTTCTTTAGAGAGGTCTTATCTAACAGTGCCAAATGCTCCACCATTTTCCACATGGGATCTGCAATCACTCCTTTGTCCCTGCATAATTGTGAAACTAACATAGCATATGAGAGTGAGAGTTTCTTTCTATCCACAGTAAGCAACATTTGATCCATGATGAGATTTGTAAG